CCCCAAAACCCCAAAACCCCAAAACCCCGTAATACTCTAATATACCAATTTATAAGGAATTAATTAACTTAGTAAATAATAAATTTCAATATTAAAATGAGCTAAAATTTCCAAGGTTAAAACAATGCTGGAGGAGGAGGATTCGGATTTGGTGCTCCTCAAAATGCGAGCTCAGGTTTTTTAGCATTCTAGGTACAAAGTTAGTCGAAGATTTAGCCTAACCTCTTTAATGTAAATAATGTGAAGTCAGTTATACCGCAAGTAATGGGATCCAAGCCAAAGTAGAACTATCAAGCTAATCAACCTAAGTAATCAAGCTCAAATATTTTTGCCTAGTATGGAGGACCTGGAGGATATTAGCCCTAAAATTAACAATAAAATTTGGCCAATTAATAACAGTAAATGCAGGGAGGTGGTAAAAAATCTGTGAAAAATTTTAAAAACTAGAATCAATCTTAGATGATGCCTTAAACTCAACAAAACTAATAATTACTTGGAAAGACTGGTAAACCAATAAAATAATCTGTTGCTCAGAACAATAATAATTTTCCATTTGGAAATACTTTTCCTAATAGTGCAGCTCCATTTAATTAATAAAGTCAAAGTCAAAGCTTAAATAATACTTTTGGCTAGAATCAAGGATTCAATCAATTTAATTAACCCAAAGCTTTAAGCTCCACTCAGCCATAGAATAATAAAACATTGGGATAACATAATTAAATCTAGAAGAAGTAGCCATATAAAAAATAGGGACAATATTAGTAATCACAATAACCCAATGATATGTAAATGGATTCACCCCTCAAAGGCAACTAATAATAGTCTCAGAATAGTTATCAATCCAAGTTTGGAAATTAAGGTGCCAACTAGCTCCAAGTTAAGAAAGCTAATAGCGTAATTACTAAGCATATCAATCAGAATTAGCCAGTTGTAGGATAAAAATAAATTTTCCAAACATAAAAGAAATAAGTACCTACTTTTATTTAGGGAAAGTCTGGGTCTTAGCAACCAAAGGGAAATTAACTTGATATTAGTGATACTCAAATGTCTATTCAACCATAGGAAACTATCTCAAGTCATTCAAATATAAGCAAACCATCAAGTTTAGCAACTTCTGGAAATCAATCGCTATCAAAATTTCAAAACAAAAATTCAAGCAATGCACAAGCAGCTGGAGGTATCAATATAACTAATTAAAATAAAAACGGAACTAATTAGGATTCGAAAAACTCTTCAAAGCAAAGATCACAAGGAGGAACAGGAACTTAGGATAACTTAGATGAAGATGAACAATAGTACGACGATGAAGACTATGACGATGAGTACTACGATCACGAAAATTATTACGAAGAAGAAGGCTAAGGCGATCTAATTAAGGAATAGAAACCTAAGAATTCTACTACCCATGAAGTTGAGAAACCATAATAAGTCTCTGGGTAAAAAGTCTGCAAAAGTTTCTTATATGGTACTTGTAAATTCGGAGCTAAGTGTAGGGACTAGCATCAAGGGCAATCGAAAAATGATGCACACTCTAAGGCTCCTCAAAAACCTATTTGTTAGTTTTTCCTTAAAAATAGTTGCACCTATGGAGACAAGTGCAAGAACTCTCATGAGATAGACCCATAGTCAGTGGCTGATATTGCAAAGAATCTTTTAACCTCGGGCAACTTGCCTAAAGGATTTGATGCCAAGAAAATGCAATAACTAATAGAATAAACTCAAAATTAGAAAAGTGGAGTACCATTTGATGAAGATTATTATGATGAAGAAGAGGAACCTGAGGAAGAAATAGCTGATAATTAAGATTAAGAAGAAGATTAGACTAATCCTATTACAGAAAAACTACCTATGGGTAAGATTGCAGAGCTAAATAAAGGCAAAGTCATCAGTCTTCAGGCTTTAAAAGACCAGAATGCAAAGCTTGCTGCTTAAGAAGAAGAAAAGAAATCAACTGACATAAAGAAACCAATTGCAAAGAAAAGTTTAAATCCTATGTAATCAGCCCAAAAAACATTGAAATCAATCGATTAACCACAAGAAATTAATAAGCCTCTTCTGATTCAGTAAGCACCAAAATCAAATCAAAATGACAATAAGATCTTCGCAATGCCTACAGTAGTATCATCTGCTACTATTACAAAAAGAAGATAGGAGATTATTGATGAGTTAAAAAAGATTTAGAGCAATCCTTAATCTCACTTAATTCGAGGAAAAGCAGAGTTATTAGCATTCTGCTCTGACTAGGAAATCTAAAGTCGTTCTGAAATAGATGCTTCTTCTGCATCAAAGTTTGAAAGAGATAGGTAAGGCTAAGGGTTCCCTCAATATGCCATAAAAGCTTACAGTAGAAGTGCTGCTGATAAAGTCATGAATGAGGTATCTGAAATAAGACCACCTATTGTGCTGTATAAGATTATTGAATATCTAAGAGACTGCATTGCTGATCAGGATATGCTTGGCCCTGGAAATAGTACTTTTAAATGGATCGACCCTTCTTTTGGAGACATCTACAGTTTCATCAGGGATAGAGGTCGTTGTGTAGCTTTAGATTTCATCATTATCGATCAGAATACCAATCAGTACTACATCAAAGTAATATAATAATCTCATTAACGCTTATATTTAGAGTCTAGAGGAACTTTCAAGATTCCTACTTATGTCTTATCATGATGGCTTTACAAGTGAGGTCTTTGATACTTACTAAAATACATAGATTCTAACAAAAAACTTAGGATCTCTCAAGAATTGTTATGAATAAGTAGAACTAGATGGTAATCTCATTTTAATTTAATTCTTATCTTAAATTTTTATGTAGCTTCAATTCCTCAAAATTTAAAGAAGGAAATGATGAAGAATAAGATAGAATTTTTATCATACTTACTAATTGCTAGTTCAAAAGACTCTGTAATTACTAGAGCAGAAATAGCTAGCATAGACATCTTAGCCATCGATCCCAAAGACTATGAGCTTATGAAATAAGCCATTAAAATAAACTCAGCGATTTAGAATGGAGATGCTACTAGATACTTTAAATTACTAAACTCTAAAGATATCAATTATCTCTTCAAATGCATGATGATAAACTTCCTTAATGAGATGAGGCTTACTCTAATTGAATAAATTGTGAAGGGATTTAATAATGGATTGAATAAAGGCATGGTTGAATTAGATTTTATGCAAAAAGTGCTTAAATTTATTGACTCCGATGACACTGCTGAATTCCTAGAAGCTGCTGGATTTACCTAAGTAGGATATGATCAAATAAAGCTCAGTGAGAGAAAACATATTGATCAATGGAAAGAAAAAGTCAATATTTGGAGATAAAAGAACAGACTGACATTCCTAGATGAAATGAGAGGCATTTAACCCAGATCTTTCATTATGAAAAATGGAGTTGATTCAGAGGATTAGAGGAAAAGAGCTGAATAGCTCAAAATTAAGCATTAGTAAGATTAAGAGAAAAAATAAAAAGAGCAAAAACTATTGGAAGAGAAAAATTTAGAGAAGCAGAAGATAGAAAAGGAGAAGCAAGAGATTGAGAAAAAGAAGCAAATTGAGAAAGAACTTCAAATGAAAGCTATAGAGGAGAAAGAAAGCTTAGAAAGAGAAGCCAAGGAGAAAAAAGAGAGGGAGGAAAAGGAAAGAATTATGAGAGAAATAGAGGAGAAAAAAAGATAAGAAAAAATTGCACATGAAAAGAAGATGAAACTTCTTAAGAAGTTTTAGACTATCGGTATCAAATACAGAGAAATCAAGGAAAATAACAAATACGCTTAAATGAGGAAAGAGTTTCTAGAATTTGGAAGAAGCTTTAAGAAGTTATTGGGCAAGAGAAAAGATAGAGACATGGTCTAGGAGCTAGAAACTCAAATAATTGAAATGTTTTAGCAAGAAGCATTTATACCAATCCAAAACAGGGAATAAATTTACAAAACACTTAGCAGCCTAGATCTAGACTTCAATCAAATTCAAACATTCAAAATGAAGGATTGGATTAGCTAAGTCATTCCTGAGAGATAAGGCCATCTACAACTTAAATTAATTTCCTCTAGAATAAGACCAAATAACAAACCTGAGCAACTCTGGGAAATTCTCTAGATCCTCATTTTGCTATTCAATAACAGTTTGAATCCTAAACTTAGCAACACTATGCTAAAGAGTTAATACAATACAGATATAAATGATGAACTGAGCCTGGCTTTTAAGTATGAAGAAATTGAAAAGTTAAATGAAATACAAAAGCAAAATCTTTTCTTAGAGACTAATCTTATAATGCTTCTGACTGACTCTGCAAGTTTTGAAAAAGATTTGAAATTCATTAAGGAGTAATTAAAGTTATACCCTCAATTTTCAAGACTCAACTTCCTAATAATGATCTATGGGAATGACTACAGCGAACTATAGAGTTTGCAAGATAAGCTTAATATGGCTTTAGTTGATGACTTAAGTTGCCACAGAGTGCTCAATCTTTAAATCATCCCTCTCTGCTTCCATATCCCAGCTAGAAAGAAGACAATCCCATAACTAGCCTATCCACAAACCCTTCGTGCTTTAATATTAGCTTATCTTCTTAGAGATCTTGAGAAATCCTTGCTTAAAAGTAAAATTTTTAATGATACCCAGCAGAAATTAATCCCTATTTAACTCTCAGAAATACTTTAAAATTCGCTGGTTGATATAACTCCAGTAATTGAACAAGTATAGGAGGATAATTTCATGCAGTATGAAAGCTTCTACAAGAAATTCTTCTAAGATCTCTAAGTGTCTTCAGGGGCAAAGTTATATGAGTTAACCAAATTGAATGAAATTTAGATACTTAATTTCTGGTTCCTCACTCTAAACCAACTTTTATAGCCAGTGATTGAATCACTTTAAGATTCAATACAAATGATCGTACTTACCAAGAAAAAGAATGCAGAGATGAGTTCAAAAGCAAACAAAGTATTAGATAGTTTAAAATTGATTTAAAACATTGAAAGGCTAAAGAATTTCACATATCCAACTGAGTATGACAAGAATTTGAATGCTGATCACGTAAACTATCTGATTCAAAAGGAATTCAAAAAAGCTAATGTTGAAATTCACATCATTTCCAAAATTGAAAACATAATCAGCTATTTATTCAGGTACAAGTCAATCTAGGCCTTGCATAAAAATAGAAGTAAGTTATTAGAGAAGTTATAATAAATTATAGGATATTTCAAGGCGTCTTAGTTATTCTAATAACTGTTCATGCTTTTGTTTTCTGAAGTGAATGAAACTCATATTTCATACTTGACACCAAAGAAATTACTTTCCCTTTAAGATGTTGATTATGAAATTATATAGAATAAGCTACAAAAACTTAATTCTTAAGGTCAAAACACTCTCCTACAGTTAAAACAGCAATTCCCACTTGATTTTAAGGAATATTCATAGCCTCAAATTCTGAAGCAGACCAAAAGGATAAAGGGGTAATATGCGGTCTAAGATAACTCTATACTTGGTAGATAAATCTCTAAAATTGGCTATGAACTTAAGACTACCATTCTCTCTGAAAAATAGATTAAGGAAAAAAATGATCTTGTTAGCTTGGATAAGGTGATTGATGAGTATAGTAATCAGACTTAGGAGCTCTATTCTGAATATAAGGAATTCAGAAAACTTAGAAGGACTGAAGTCCTTGAAGATGCTAATAGAAGCACCAAGAGGATTAAGTAAGATAAATTCGACATTGAGTAGAGTGCCAAGTTTCTGCAAGAATAAAAGAAGATTCTTGAGAACATGACCAAGAAAGCTAAAAGTAATATTCCCTTATTTGTTACAAGAAGTTAAGTCAGTAAGACTTGAGTTAAGTGCTTTTGATTATTATTTAATTTTAATTAAGTTTGGATTTAAGATTCATTAGATTATTTTGACTGATGGGGTTTTGGGGTTTTGGGGAGATCGGAAGAGCACACGTCTGA